ATCAAAATGCGTCAATATTTGAACAGAATGCGAGAATTTTTAAAAGTAATGGAATTAAATTACAGCTTGTCTCGTCAGCTTACAGATTCCAAGGCAAAAACTTTTGCAGTTGAAGCTGGACAGCTTACCAAGTCATTATTTTTTCATTGAGTTTGATTGGTTATCATGTGCTATTTGATAAAAATTTCATTGGCTTGTGGCATTTGCTACTTGATTTTCATTGGCTATTTAACTGTCCTTTTGACCTGTCCGATTACAAGCTCCTTATAATCGGACAGGTTGAATCGGACAGTTTTGGAGTTACAATAGCAAAATAAAGATATAAATATGGGCTGTGAAGAACCAATCAGATTCAAACAGTTTATTATTGACACAATTACTAAAGATATTCGGTTGTTTCGTTTTCTTGTCCGCTAGCTACGCTGATAGGCGTTTGAGCATTTTTGCCTTCCTCAGGTTGAGAGACTAGTTTGGAGATCTATTAGAGCATTAAGAAGCTTTTTAATATCGCGCCATATCTTTACCATTTTTGAGGTTGTGCTGGAGACTGGGTCGATGTTTTGCCAAATTGTACTTAGAAATGTACAAAAAACCATGATGTACGTACAAAGTTGTTGTTTTGCCGGTCTAATTCTATTGCTTTTTTGCCGTTCTCGTTGCCGTCGCCGTCGTCGTTGCTTAAGCTCCCTAATGTCCCATATAGTGTACTTCAACACAACACTCGTCAAATATATTTTGAAGAATACGTTCGTCTTGATGTCGGATTACCTTCAGGCATATTCTCTGGGGGTGGGACGGGGGACGAAAGCTCTTCCTGTTTCGTTGCCCATCCCCACCCCCACTCGGCAAGCCAAAAATTTTCTTGTAGGCCGCTGATAACGTCACTGATATTTATTACGAATTTAGTTCAGTATCAAGGACACGCAACGAGTTATGTATGCTAAAGGCTGTAGGAAATCATATTTATGTTTCTTCTTATAAAGAAAAATCATGCATAAACTTTCAGATTTCATTGTTGTTTGAATGTCTTAGCTAAAAGTCACTAGGCCGAAAGTATCAGTAGATACAACTGAAATCATTTTTTGTCTGGAAAAGGAAGCTCAAATATAGTTTGTAAGAAGTTAAAAAAAGGTACTTCCTCTCTGAAATTTTTAGCTTGACCTTTTGAGAACTTAAAATAGCATTTTTATCCTCTTGAATTTATCAAGCATATTTTCGTTGAGATCCGAAGGCGTTAGCTCATATTTCCGGCTCTTGAGCCTCGAAGAGGTATCTCGTACGAACATTTGACGAAACATTTCGTCGGAAGCCTTAGGTATGTCGGCAAAGACAATGCGAATGACGTGGTTACCTTATGACGTCTTCGGAATTCATCGGAAATGTTTGCATAATTATCGGAAACCTTCGCGTGAACCTTGGACAATCCTCGAATATCCCTTCAAATGGCTTAGCTCAGTAATAGCTCAGTACTCCTACTCAGTAGTTTAAAATGTTTTATATCGCAGAGGAAAGCAGTACACAGTTATTTTTTCCTTCATTTGAATGTTCTGAATGTTCTTTCATCCCTTAAAAACCACGAGTTCGTGTCTCAAACCGTGTTTATTTACGCGGCAAAGTTAAGAAGATGTTGAGGCCGGAAACACATGGTCTTCTAAACACGTCAACATTTCAGAAAGCACTTCACAAAAAAGACTAAAATTATTCTCAATAATCTTAGGTATTTGTTTACTGATAAACAAGCAGTTTTACAATAGAAAACTCCTGAGATGCGTGACACTTGTTTATCCTATAGCTTATGAGGTAATATTCGGTCATTTTTATGTCTATGGCACTGCGTAGTACTGTACAACGGTTTTAAAAAAGGGTCATACACCCGAAACGTTTGTATTGTTTGAAAAAACATTCGACAATTTTTTATATTTCTTTACCGAATATCATCTCATCAGCTATTATGATAGATACGCCTTGTTAGAGCTAGTGTGGGTGTATGACACATGCCCGTTGGGGGGGGGGGGTACTCCCTATTATGGCCTATAAGGGGAGACTCCGCCCAAAATGGGTACCTTTTTCAGGCCTCAGGTATATGAAAGGGTAGGGATTTTACTAATAGAAGTATATAAAAGGGTAGGGAAATCGGTCTTTCCGTCTATAAAACACCTGAAAGGGCTAATAGAAGAATTTATGGCTGTAAAAAAGTCAAGAAAAGTTCCTGGCTCAGTGACTTATTCAGATTTTTAAGACAGTGCATTTACAGCAGTTTAAAGTGGTGCAGGGTTCTAAACTAGGTATGTGAAAGGGGGGGTATCATTTGTCAGTGGAAGGTATACGAAAGGGGTATCTTTACTGTCAAAAATGGTGTATAAAAGGGTAAGGGGTCGGACCTTTGGGCGGAGCATCCCCGAAGAAAACTTTGTTGGGTACCACCCCCCCCCCCGGGCAAGACCCGATAGGAAACCAACTTATTCGACATTGAAGGAAAAAAATCTTTTGACATCATCTTGAATCTAGGGTAGTTGGGTGTAACTATTCAGTCACGCATTTTTTACTGCATTTCCCGAATTGGGATTTGGCATGATGAACATAAGTGATCTCTATAGAGCAAGAGCAAGGGGGTCCCTTTTTTTTAAAAAATGGGATTTTGAGGAGTTTAAAAGTGTGGAGGGGTTAAAAAAAAGTGTGTGAAAGGGGGGGTATTATTTTGTAGGGGAAGGGAATCAAAAGGGGGTTTTTTTATGTCAAAAATGGTGTATAAAAGGGGAAGGGGTGGGACCCTTGGGGGGGGCCCCCCCCAAAAAAACTTTTTTGGGGACCCCCCCCCCCCCCCCCCCGGGCAAGATCCGATAGGAAACCAACTTATTCGACATTGAAGGAAAAAAATCTTTTGACATCATCTTGAATCTAGGGTAGTTAGGTGTAACTATTCAGTCACGCATTCTTTACTGCATTTCCCGAATTGCGATTTGGCATGATGAACATCAGTGATATCTATAGAGCAAGAGCAAGAGGGTCCATTTATCCCCTTGATTTGGTCATACTCAGCTAGGACAGTGTGGTCGGCATAGTATTTTCTTTCGTGGTCAAAGTAATAGTTACATCTTGCCCCGTTTAAATGAGTAAGAACCGTGAGAATACCCCCCAGTATAAGAATTGGAGTAACTAAATAGGTACAGCATTGTGCCCATGCTGAAATGATACGTAAAACTTACAATTTGCAAAGCGCTCGGATCCACGGGGCAGATTACGATGAAATACATGTTAATTGAAAAGACGGTAATGCCATGGTTTCCGTTTTAGTGCCGACACTAATTAAGAGCAAGTAATCGGAATCTATTTGCAGTCCAAAGCTAGAGTTCGTTTGTTTAGAATCGATCCGGTTAATTGGAACTTTCAGCTTTGTTCTTATCTCCTAGCGAAATATTACAGTTGAGTTCTATTCGATTTCCTGTGCAAGGTGGTTGAGCAGGGTATCTTGAAAACGTTTCGAGGTAAAAATATCAGCGTTGAAATAAAACGAGTAAAAAGCACCAGCGATTGCCAAAGACAAGTGCCAGAGATTCCGTGTCGTTTGGGGCTTGTTGAAATTCACGTTAATTCTTAGAGGAGGCTTTGTTACAAGTTGACGCATCGCTCGCGCAGCATATCCAGTACTATAACAATTTGTTAATTTAATAAGTAAACAGTCGTGGTTCTCAGTTTCTTGTTAGTGGGCTATTAATCAATGTCGAGACACATCGTCTGACAGGAAAGTGAAAATTGCTTCTGATTGTGTCTAAAATAAAACAAACCTGCAGCCCAAATCGGCAAAATTGGTCCGCACCCTTATTAGCGAGTCACACAAAAATGATTTCTGGCGAAATATTACGTTGGTAAGGAGCTTATAATAGGTGACTAAAAGCCTTCAAAAACTCTGAATTTGCAATTAAAAATATATCCAGATATTATCACTAAATGAAATTGCGATTGAGCTAGATTTCAGTTATACTGAGTTTAGTGGAATTGTTGTAGCTTATTTGACTCAGTTGTTTATGAGCCATGATCCTAGTTTATAATGATTTTCGTCCGATTTTAACCTTCCTTTAAGAAGACAGGAACATTTCCTTATTTATTAAGAAACACAAGTGCGCGCTTTGTTTTGATGAAAATCCCCTTGTGATCCTATTTTTTACAAGTGATGCGCTAAAGTGGTTAACATTGAAATCATTTTCTTTATCCCGTACTTCTCACGATGAGTGCTGTACGTTCTATCACACGCGCCAATCTGTTGCTGGTTTCTTTCGAAAGAAGGCTTGGCCAGAATTCAACCTTTATATTATATATTTATATCTTGCGACACGCAAGCTGAAAACGTTAGCTTCCGCGCGCAAAGTGGAAAACTTTTGTCAGGTTATTAATCATAGGTCAATGGGTGATGCCACATAAACGAAGAGTTTGCGCCATTGAGGCTCCGTTTGTTTGGTGCGATAAGTGATCCCGTTTGTGCAATGTGCTGAAATGGACGCAGCGTTAGCGACCCGGTGCGGCGCACCCTGTGGAGGAGACTTAATTCAAACAGATTGACGGAGATTTATGACTCAATTGCTCACAAGATTTATTGCAGGTTATCACAACACTTGTTCGCCGCTTCTTGAGTTTCATACAAGGATGGAAATAATTTGCAATGGGGCAAAATTGTAATTGAAGAGCCTCTAGAAAAAGATGGTTTCATACTTCAATGAACAATTTCTGTACAGCATAGCATGTGAGTGCTGGCATTAAGTGTAGGAAGGCTTGGTCCAGTATACATGTTTCAACTGTTTTAAGTTGTGGTCATCCCTTTTTAAACCTTCTTGAATCGTGAATTGTACTTGAAAAATAACCCAACAAAAGCAGTACTCGAGAAAACGCTGGGGTCATGAACTCACTGCCGCACTGGAATCTGATAGGCTGAAACAGGTCACGTGAAGCAGTAAATAGCTCTTACACTAGTCGATTTGTCATAATTCGTGTTGTTAAGGGTTAAGATGTCAGGGCCATATAAATCATATTCGACAAACATGGCTCAGCCAACGTTTTATCCCAATAAGACGCACAGTTACACGCAGCAATATTTTCCGCAGCTGTCCCCGTCATTCGAGAGGCAAGTGAGCTTCACGGGGAACTATTTTCCCTTCTTGGATATTTCTACCCGGAGATCGGCACACCAGAATTTCAGCGCCCCGCAAACTTCTAGGCAAACTTCTTGCATCGAAGATACAAGGCCCTCTGCGTCCCATCAGACAACACAGATTCCAGAATATCTTCTCCAGCCAATTTATCCATGGATGAAATCTAAGAAAGGCGGAAAGGCTGCATTTGGATTCGGTATGCTAACCCCTTTGATAACCTTCTTTTTTGGTGCGAGCGTTTGTCCGCAAATGTTTAGCGCGACTCGGCAGCTTAAAGTGTTCTGCTGGTTAAAAACTATCGGAACAGGTTAATCCCCCTCTTCCTTTTAATTCGGCCGTGCACGATTGAGTGACATTTTGGAGATTTCAGTTAACCTTGTTTCGACCATTTGTTATCGTTGAGAAGTTTTTCTGTCAAAAGGGCGGGGGGTTTGGAGAGTGACTTGTCTACTACTGTGATTAATGGAGCAGCCCTCTTTAGCATTGCATTTCTTCGGGTAAGAATAGATGCATGTTCAACAAAAGATCAGGTTTTGTCATTCAATCACAAAGTGCAATATTTTTAGTTTGCAAACATATTGTTGATAGTACGCGGAAGCTGGAACGCTGCTATTGGCGAAAAGGTTGTTTGGTTTTGAAAAGACCTGCCAATAAGGCGAGTTCTGTTTAAGCAAAGTCCATCATAGGAATTTAAGCGACCGAAATGAAAAGACTTCAGACCACGAAACCAAAGCTTGAACCGTTGCCCAAGTCTGTCAAGAACCGAGCCGGAAAATGATCACTTCAAAAAAAGTAAGACTTCAGTTTTAATGAAAATCCGCCTCTCGAACTGGGTCCGTTTGTCGGTGTTCGCAGAGATTTTCCTCTTCTAGAATAGACAGTTTTAACAATACCGCAGATGATCACGAACATGTTTTAGTTGAAGGGAAAATATGCCTCTAAAGGACCTTTGTTCTCTGTTAATAACTGAAATGATAACTTTTTTACAATACACAGGGCAGAAACAAGCCAAACGACATCGGACAAGCTACACAAACAAACAGCTTTTAGAGCTGGAAAAAGAGTTCCATTTTAACAAGTACCTGTGCAGTTCTCGAAGGAGCGAGATTGCGAAGACTCTTAGTCTTTCTGAACGGCAAGTCAAGATCTGGTTCCAAAACCGCCGGATGAAATGGAAAAAGGATGAGAAACTGAGCGATTCTTCGGGGAACAGTAAAGAACGTTTCAACGATGTGCGAGGAACGCACGAATGCGGTCATCTTCACATGGCGTGTTCCCCGCTTTGTCATTCTCCACCATTGCACCAAACAGGACACAAGGAAAGCGTCCACTTGTAGTGCGACGTGAAACGTTATTCAGAAAAGAAAATCTTTTGAAAGAAGAAAAGGGAATCTCACGTTGAATGAAAGAGTCTGAATCAATCATCTTCGGACGTTGTGGTATGCCAGTTAATTATCAAAAACCTGTACATTAATGCGTTTATTTAATGGAGGGAACTCTTGTTAGAGCAGATCACTGCCTTTCCGCCTTTTTACCAGTTCTAATCCGCTACTAATCCTTCTGAAAAAGCTAATCGACACCAAATTTCCTTTTCTTTGTGAAAGGTGTGAAACTTGTAGCGAGATGCTCTCCCCTCCGCCAGAGTTCCTAAACATAAAACGTTATTTATTGAACACACTTTTCGCTCGTTGCCAACCTGGTGGCGTTAATTGTACAAATATTCAATCGTTATTCATGCAATCGAAGAGCTAGCTATTTCATGAGTTAAGATAACTGAGAAATAATTTTTCTTCACGGAGTATGACAAAGAGACTCCTTCTGTGGCTGAAGAGAGTCAAAGCTGAGAAAATTGCACCTTCGCTTCCCGCTATCTTGTTAGTCACATTCCAACGCATCGCCAACTAAACCGCCCCCTGTCTTCAAATGTAATCAGTTTGTTCATTTTTGTACATTAAAATTCGCTTTGTTCCCCAAAAGACAATAAATGTTCTGTTGGAAATAAACGATACTTTTGACAAATTTTGACTTCTTCATTTGTTTTCAGTTCTCAATGAAAAATGTTATGTCAGAGCACGAGGTATTTTTGTCGCATTCTGGCATCTCTCTGTGTGGCGCCCTTCCTTTTGGCATTTCCATCGTTTGTACAGACCTAGTATTACCGCTAAAATGACAGAGAGGCTAAAAGACCTCTCCACGGCTTGAGTTCTGTACTTGAAGTAGCATTACTAAGCGTGAAGATTCGAGAGGGAACACTGGCATTGTTTGTGAGAACGCGGAGATAATTCCCGTTCAGTTGTATCCCTTTCTCGCAAAGCATTTCGCAAAACGGCACACTGGCTGATAAAATATTATTTCATTTGTATAATCTTAAATAATCATTTTTACCGAAAAATATACTATTTTGTAGACAAAATAACCTCATGCTTGGTCAGACAAAACGCGCGGAGTGCAAAAAAAGGCGACGTGTTGAATTTCCAAAAGTGGGTTCCACGGTTTCGTGAGTTTATTTATCACTGACACTTTGTTTGCAGGCTGTTTCCGCTTATCCTTGAGCAGTAATTTCCTTATAGATTTTAAAATGAACTTGCAAATTAAATGCTTTTAATGTAAGCTCGTCTGAGAGCTTCCCAATTAATAAATCACTTGGAATCGAAAGGTCGTCGTCTTGTCTACTAAGAGAGAATTCGGGTTTTTCGGAACGCAGTGATATAAAATCGCAAATCGTAAATAGAGCTCAGTCGTTTCTCTGGATTTCAAGGGAAATCATAAAATAAATTGAAATGATTGCAAGGGGGAATCTAAAAGGGGAAGCTAAAAAAGAAAAAGCTCCCTGCTAATTTAGGGAATGCTGGGTGTTGTTGCTTACACAATCACAGACAAACAATAGTTACAACCATACCATGTTTATTCCACTGATTCTTGTCTTACAAAGTCTTCCACTTTAGATGTTAAAAGGAAACAATTTAAAAAGAAGTGTTCTACCCTAACTAAACTGCTTAATTTTCTAGTTTCTATAACGTACAAATAAAGGTGGTATATATGTTTAGAAAGATTAGCTGTATCAGGTCAAAATAGTCATAAATCACAAAAGTTGACATGGCCTGTTTTGTAAAGGGAAGCCGTGAGACTTACCCTGTCTAAACCAATTTACAGTAAACGTACTAACATTTTTCAGCAATTGTTACGAATTCTTGTGCATCCTAGGTTACTGCTTTAAAGTTCGTAGCCCGATCGACCACAAATGTTTGAGGGTTTTCGGTGTGTGTAAATGTGCCTGTATGCATAACAAAGAGTTGTCTGACACGAATGCTTAAGAGAAACCCCAAAGTTATGGTTTCTCTGCATTCTGCAGTTTCAAAATTCCTAATTGCACCAGGAAATGCTGCTCTATACGAAACTAATAGACTACCTCTTCTTTGCAATACATCAATTTATTTATCCTAAAAGCTGCACCAAACTGGTTTGAGTTGAAGTTTAGGGTTCCTACATGAACACTTTTATATTATATGCATACCAGTTTACAACAGCCGTTACAGAATCTCTTGATTAACTCAAAAGAAATATTTCTTGCATTGTAACTTAACTATAATCACACCTTTCCATGTATTTTTTAAACTACAGTTGAAAGCAGTAATTGAAAGGCTGTGTCTAGCTAAACTCTGCAGCAAACTGGGAACGCGACCCCGTCCGCCATAGCATTATGACAGACTATTTAGCTACTCGTTATTGAAATAGGGTATCAATAAAAGGCAACACTGATCTACTCGTTTTTAACTTCGTTCTGCTGTAATAACTAACACTTTTGCAGAATTAGATATCAGTTGTTGTAAAACTCACTCCTTTTGCTTTCGAGCGCTCGACAGTGACAATATCAAGTCGCCAAGTACTCTGATTTGCGTTGGGTTATTTTCTACAGTTACCCATATTCATCGCAATGACTCGCTTTCCAAATGCCTACATAAAAGTCCGTTTTAATAAAGTCAAGCGACTGGTAACTTTTTTAATTGTTTTTTTTTGTTGTTGTTGTTAGAATATAGCTATACATAATGTTACAGCGTAGGAATGGAGGTTAATTGTGGCCCTTAGTGGTCAACCGGAGCACCTCAGTCTAATAAAGCAACATAGACGAATTACCACGCAAAAACGAACTAAAATTTCCGCCCATAATGCATCAAAGTCTCAAATTTTGCTTAACTGAGTTAAAATACCTTAACATAAATTTATTAATCGGCACATCCTGACACAGACTGTAGTACACATATAGTCGTCCATAATTGGCTGTCCTATTCCTTCCTCTATTGAATAAAAATCAACGTGACCTATCTTACTATTTATACTGCTGAAAACAATCTTAAGCTCAAAAATGTTACTGTGCAATAATTAGGAAAAAAAAAAACCCTTCCATTTTATTGAGGATCTTATTTTGAGACCGTCAGAAGCTAGAGCCATACCGTGAGTTGGAACACTGAAGACCACAACTGCAATTATGATCTGTTGGTGGTTTATGTATACAGATAGTTTGTAACATTAAGCACAGTATTTGCTTACTTTGTAAAGGCCAGTTTTGAATCAAGCTACAGCATAATTGTAAGAGTTTTCTGCTTGGGGTTTCTATGTTAAACTGAATAGAAATCCATGAAAAATAACCACTTTATCTAACCATGGTCGCCATTTTGAAGAGCTGCGTCTGCTAGAAGTCCAGAAGTTTCTGGCGAGGCGAGAAACTTGGAAACTTCCCTGCTTGTCAGTTCTATGAGCAAGAGCAGTTGCTCTTTTGCGAAGCAGCTGTCTTTTTTCACGTTTATCCCGGCCAGCGGGCAATTTAGGACCAAAAAAGCCGAAAAATCATAAATCACCCTGGTGTCATGCTTAATGGAACTAATGCATGTTTTTTTATCGATTCTGAGCTAAAAAAATTTAGCAGCCTTTCAAAAGGCACTGGTTCCTGTTTATCGTATATGTTCATTTTCAAATTATAGTGAATAATTGGTGTTTGTTAACGGAAGATATCACTCAAACTCAAAACATATAGTTCTGTATCCAATAGCTGAAACTTTCGTTGCTCGTATTTTGGACTTGGAGCCACGTGACCCTAAAACAACAACACAACAACAAAACAGCTTTGTTTAAATCTTGTAGTTAGGAACATCGGAAGATAAAAAAAATAGAAATAGTCTATATTTATCTAGTTAGCGACTGAACCGTACTGCTCGTTAGCTTTCATTTCAATGGTCACAATTAGGATTTCATCCGCAGACGTAAAATTTAGAAGCACTTTGTACAGCATTATAAACAGTACAACATAAAAGTACTGCTCCGTCTCTTTCATTTGAGTGACAACCCTTAGGATTCTAACCATAGGCATAAAAATCAGAACCGCCTAATGCAAACTAAAAATTGTTATTTTAAGAATTGAGATGCGGGGGGAAATCTCGGGAGAACGTTTTCAAATAGTGCCTTCGACCGAAAAGGATTGTAACATAATATGAATGGAGAATTACACAAAGGAAGTTACGCTGACCTATCTCCCTTGTCAGACACAAGTCCCTCAGTTTGACGCCTGGATAAAATACCCTGAATTACATGTAAAAAAACTGCCTGCATTCCTGAGTAAGTATGACTGCTTGCGTTGCGTCTCATGAAAGTAAGGTAACGAATTTTTGGTCGTTTCAAGGAAAATCAAATTTTTATTAATCTTATTACTGCTTACATTTTTTACGTCTAAGCCACCAAACCTTAGTAGAGAAGGTTTTTTTGTCATTTATTTATTTATTTTTTGTTGGAAGGTGGTGTCTATTTTGTTGGGGTAAAGGTCTTCACTCCTCTCAGACCGCAGTCATCGAGAGATGCATCTATCAACAAATTACTAAGGAAGATTTTGCAGGCTTATCTCTATTTCCTGTGTGTGAATAGCTGAAGACATTTCTTCTACAAACAGTACAAACTTGAGTCTCATATGGTTCAGATGGCCATGATAAGAGAAAAAGATTGTTTTTTTTTTAAGCAGACTGTTTGCTAGTTATCTAAGTGGGCAAAAGTGAGCGAAGCAACATGCTTCAGTAAATCAAAAAACTAAAAATCGAATTTGACAAAATAATGATCATAATATTGCCATGCCTTCCAGGAAAAATATTGAATATCTTCAAGTCAGTTTACTCAGGGGAAACAATTTACGATCACTATAAAACGAGAGAACCGGAACTTCTGCGTTAAACCAGAGTAGAATTTTGGCTCCTTGTTGTCTCGAGAACTTGAAATTGATCTAATAAATACATAATTAATTATACTCCTAAATTGATGTGTCAAAGTACTATGACACGTGGAGAAAGACGCCGACTCTTCCTGTTCCGAATAAGGAGATAACACGAAACCGTTACCAGTATGGGAAGATGATTACGCTGAGCTAGCTAAAGTATGCTGTGAAAAATTCGGTCAGTTGTGTGTTTAGTGTACAAATTTCTGAGATCGTTTGTTGGATAAAAAAATAAACTTACTTACAGTGAAGTAGCCTTTTTTTCTTTGGTTCTGGCTTTTGCTGTCTCTGTCCGAAAATTAGAATCAGAAGCACAAAATCTAACTACTTTAGTTTCTTTCCCCTTGTTTTTCTTTCAGTCGAAAAGAAGTTGCAGGCTTTTCGGAGGAAACGAGAAAACTGGCCCGAGAGAGTATTTTAGGCTTAGTTTCCGCCCCTCTAAACAAACACAGCTTAGTAACCGCGTCACCAGATTAGAAAAGACAAACAAAACGGCTTTTTAGCACACTATTAACACTTCATAGCTTAGAGATATGTGTACAAAACATATAGATAGAAAACGAACGATCACTATAAAACTTAATAATTCTTACGCTTTTTTTGAAGAATTGAATTAGTGTGGAGAAAAAAAAACAAACTTATGGCCTTAATGGAGATGTCACGATATCTATGGCAGGAATCTGGGCGTTGAACAAACTGAAACCAGGAGTATAAAAGGCTAATTAAGCATAGTATTTCTGACTTCTGTAAGAATTCTTGTTTAAAGGCCGAAAACTACTAAAAAACGCTTTTTCCCCAACTTATTCATGTACTTTATGAACCATTACGTGCAATATTGAATAAGTATTTTCTCCTCTCGCAGAAGTATATTTGAAATTCTCAATCGATTTCCCGCTATTTATAAACTTGCTTAGTACTCGTAAGGACGGCAAATGGCTTTTCACATATACAGTTAGTAAAAGATACTTATGGTTTTCTTCTTACCTACATATATACCTACGAACGTCTACTCAGTCATAATTAGACAAGTTATCTTTTGAGAATGGCGAATACCATTTTGCGACATATTCTTTAAATGAGTCTCAACATAGAGAACCATGCCTACTGTGGCCTAATTTGATTTGCGAAAGTTATTAATCATCCACATTCATGCTAACTAAGCACCTGTATGCTAGCTGAACTAGCTTGTCTTTTGTGTATAGCTCAATATTCTCTGTTCTTACTGTTTAATATCCAGGATGCACTGATTGATTGAGCCATTCAGCATCCTTCGTTGCCCTGTTGATAGGCAGGTGTTGAAGGTTTACACCCAACTCTGTCACTGAGGTAAGTGACCGCACTGGATAGCTTGGAAATCCACAGTTTACCTGCAGACGAAAACATTAATTAAAACCAGTCTCGCTGACAAAACATTATCGTTATTGTTTATGCCAAGATATCTCTTTCTGTTGTTGTATTAAGTTTTCTAACGTGTAAGAAGGCCTGAGGCCCGTTTCTCGAAAGTCCCGGTAACTTTTCGGACCCGAAATCAAATTTTCAAATCGAAATATAAAGAATAAGAGCGCTGGTCCTGGCTAGCAGACTACTCCATTTTGTTTCACTAACTGATAGTTTTATCATGCTAGATGCAAAACTATTGATACCTCGATCTTAAATGTAAACGGAGACAGCTTACCGGGCCCGTTAATTATCGGGACTTTCGAGAAACGGGCCCCTGATGAAAAAGTGTTTTTTGTGCGCCTTCCAGTCATCCTAGCTGGCTCATGTGTGTTACCCTATGTTATGGCGAATCAATAAGTACCGCCCTAAAAATTACGCTGCTGCCTAGCAGTACTTTCCTTTGGCACTCAATGTTAGGGGACAAACGCTCTATACACCATTCCTAACCTTTTGGTATTATGTGACTTGAAGGGATTAAACCCAGGCTGTGTTTAACCCCTTTAAGTCAATCAATAGCAAAAGGTAAGGGATAGTGTATAGAGCGTTTTCACTCACGTGGGCAGCATCTAAGCAAATTTACTGAAACAAGAAAAGCGTTAACATAAGAAAAGAGTTCAACTCCCACAGGATTGATTTGGAACACCAAAATGGCCGCAGTGACGTCACTTGGAAAACGCTTTATACATGGGTTTATCCAATCCAGGTTTTGTCGACGACGCTGGCCATTCAACGTGGTTCTAAATATTGAATCTGCGAATGAAATCTCTAATGATAATTCAAATGAAAGCTACTGAGCAGTGATTCTAACTTTTCCATCTGAATGAAAATCTAAAATGTGACCATTTAATTGAGTTACTCTTTTACTGAGTAGAAGTTACTGAGCAGTACGCGAGCAGTACTTATTTCCTGTGGTACTGTTTATTATCTGTTCAAGGTACTGTTTATGATGTTGTTCTGGGTGAAATTCTAAAGTGCTACCTTCGAATTCAAATAAACGCTAACGAGCTGTTGATAATTAATGCTGTACAAGATGGCTCCAAGGGTTTTGTTTGTGTTTAGAACCCCTTCAAATGACGTTATTTAGTAATTCTTAGTTTGCAACCACGTGACAAGGCGGCCATGCCTATTTTCGGGTCAAAACAATAGAATTTTTTCTCGAGGAATTTACATGAAAATAGCGTTTAGTTCTCAGAGAGAGAGATGCTTTTGTTCTTGATCACTAGCATGGCCGCCGTGATGTCACGTGCAAACCAGCATTATACTGTTTTTGTACTGTATACGCTTTACAAGGTGGTCACTTTCGGGGCCCTGGATTAAACTCGAAAGTGTGCGCATTAATGAAGGTTTTTGAGCTTTACTTCAAGGAGGTGCATGCTGTTTATCTCTTGGTACAGTAATTTTATGAACAGAAATGAATTTTGTTTTTTTCTTCTTGCTTCATCTTGACTCATCTTATAAAGAGGAATTAACCCAGCATTAACATTTGCTTTCTAGATGACCTGCAACGGAGTGCCTGTGAAATTGGACTCTTTGGATGACAAACAGTGGCGGATACTGGGTATGTTTTAAAACACCTTTTGAAAGTCTTTTTCCCCTTTCTGCCCAGCCGCTGAATTATTTTTTTATCTGCTTTTGGAAACGAAATTAAGTGAACTTCGACATGCCTTATTCGCTGATTAACTTAACCAGAATAATTACGTTGTTACGCCGGCGGTCGAAAGAATCTTTCGTAGTAACCAATGTCGGTCTTGAATAAATTGAAAAGTTTCTTTGCAACCGTTTTAAAAGTTTCTTTGCAACCGTTAATAACCTTTGGCAGTGATCATTTCACTAATTCTATGTTATTCTTGGTTGTATCAGTTGGTAACTCACTCCAAATATCCCCATACATCCATATTGATTATTCGAAAGGGGTGCGAAAACATACATTTTGTAACGTTTTGTTAGTTTCACAAGAGTAAGTATATTAGGTTGCGTAATACTGCAGAAGTATTTAAGGCGTGCTTGTAAGGTGTCTCGAGGGGCTAGGACACTATTTAAGGTTTGTTAAGCTATGCAAGAGCCATTCGAGGCAACTCTTTCAACCCTAATTTTGTTGAGTTTGTAAAACTGTAACCCTGTTTTTTGTAACGCTCTACGCTCGCTTCATCAATAAAGGAGATGCCCGCTCCTATTCTTTGTGTTGTGATTATTCAGATTACTTACAAAATATTTTATAATCGTTTCAGTGTGATTAGAATATAAAACCTCATTCCGCTAAACCAGAAAAATCGACAACTTATACGAAGCACATAAAACGTTTTCGTTACACAATAACTGGTGAGATCAAATCCTTTTTAAAAAGAGAAGACAGTAGGACGTGAGACTTTCCGACCTCATCAGTATTGTCAGTTGTAAAAATTACAGAAATTATAGATTGCGTAGAGCATTTGCGAAAGGTGATCTTAAATGAAATATTTGCCTACCTCAGTTACGGACATCATCATTCTCAGTTTCACACCATAACATAGTTCCTTCGAGATCTTCGCAAACAAATAGGGCCCATTATAATGCACGTGACACCTTTTTTTGTCTTAAATTCCTCCTCAGCAGGGTTAAACGCTTCCGCCTGCAAGATTAATGTTTAAAGCTGAGTAATTTATCTAAATGAACATTTACCTTCATCTAAAAATGTGCACTCTTGAAATCTGTTTGCGCTATCGAGCTTGTTCTAGCAAAACTGTTTTTTTAACTTGACATGCGTGGAATACTGCTTTCCTATTGGACACTTGTGCTTGCATGATTTGCGCCTGCAAAATCTACTAAATATGACTGTGCTTGATCAAATAATCATCATGTCTTGAAAAGTCTGGCGCAGACTATCTCATTAACCGCCTTCCTATCTTGAGTACGCAAGCACAGCAATACGCCAGTCAAGTACGAGTTCACTAGCTCTGCTAGACTTCATTTGATTTTTCTATTTTTTTCTGTTTTTGACTTACTTTTTTTAACAAACAACATAAGAACTAAGGACCAAAGATTTTTTAGAAAAATCTCTGACCATTGTGATACAAAAGCAACTGATTGGGACTTCACTGTGATTCTTTTTTATGTTGTACCTCTCTCCTCCGCAGAGGCTCCCGCTGGGTATCCCCATCAAAATATAATAATCGAAAAAATAGAAAGCGCGCATTCCCGCGCGCTCTCTTTTTTTTCTCCCCAGCCTCGCCACAATACAAAGAGGCCTCTGCGGAGGAGAAAGATGTTGTACAGCTAAGGAATCACTTTGAGTCTGTGGATGAAATCCTTTAGAGTTACACGTGAGTTACCGCTCAAACTACTCCGAGCAGTACGTTCCTGTAAGGCTTGGTAATTTGGTCCTAAACTTTGAGTTTTTGGATGAAATACTCGGTGTGACCATTGAAATAAAGCTACTGATCGAGCAATACTTTCCTATGGTACCTGTCTATTATACTGTACAAGGTAGTTCTAACTTTTGAGTCTGTGGGTGAAATCGTAAAGTGTGACCATTCAAATGAAAGCTACTGAACAGTACTTTCCTGTGGTACTGTTTATTATACTGTACAAGGTAGTTCTAACTTTTGTGCCTGTGGATGAAATCCTAAAGTGTGACCATTCAAATGAAAGCTACTGAAGAGTACTTTCCTGTGGTACTGTTTATTAAGCTGCACAAGGTGGTTCTAACTTTTGTGTATAGAGCGTTTTCACTCACGTGGGCAGCATCTAAGCAAATTTACTGAAACAAGAAAAGCGTTAACATAAGAAAAGAGTTCAACTCCCACAGGATTGATTTGGAACACCAAAATGGCCGCAGTGACGTCATTTGAAAACGCCTTATACACGGGTTTATCCAATCCAGGTTTTGTCGACGACGCTGGCCATTCAACGTGGTTCTAAATATTGAATCTGCGAATGAAATCTCTAATGATGATTCAAATGAAAGCTGCTGAGCAGTGATTCTAACTTTTCCATCTGAATGAAAATCTAAAATAGGACCATTTAATTGAGTTACTCTTTTACTGAGTAGAAGTTACTGAGCAGTACTCGAGCAGTACTTATTTCCTGTGGTACTGTTTATTATCTGTTCAAGGTACTGTTTATTATGTTGTTCTGGGTGAAATTCTAAAGTGCTACCTTCGAATTCAAATAAACGCTAACGAGCTGTTGATAAGTAATGCTGTACAAGATGGCTCCAAGGGTTTTTTTGTGTTTAGAACCCCTTCAAATGACGTTATTTAGTAATTCTTAGTTTGCAACCACGTGACAAGGCGGCCATGCCTATTTTCGGGTCAAAACAAGTAATGCTGTACAAGATGGCTCCAAGGGTTTTGTTTGTGTTTAGAACCCCTTCAAATGACGTTATTTAGTAATTCTTAGTTTGCAACCACGTGACAAGGCGGCCATGCCTATTTTCGGGTCAAAACAACAGAATTTTTTCTCGAGGAATTTACATGAAAATAGCGTTTAGTTCCCAGAGAGAGATGCTTTTGTTCTTGATCACTAGCATGGCCGCCGTGATGTCACGTGCAAACCAGTATTATACTGTTTTTGTACTGCATACGCTTTACAAAGTGGTCACTTTCGAGGCCCTGGATTAAACTCGAAAGTGTGCGCATTAATGAAGGTTTTTGAGCTTTACTTCAAGGTGGTGCATGCTGTTTATCTCTCTTGGTATAGTAATTTTATGAACAGAAATGAATTTGGTATTTTTCTTCTTGCTTCATCTTGACTCATCTTATAAAGAGGAATTAACCCAGCATTAACATTTGCTTTCTAGATGACCTGCAACGGAATGCCTATAAAATTGGACTCTTTGGATGACAAACAGTGGCGGATACTGGGTATGTTTTAAAACACCTTTTGAAAGTCTTTTTCCCCTTTCTGCCCAGCCGCTGAATTATTTTTTTATCTGCTTTTGGAAACGAAATTAAGTGAACTTCGACATGCCTTATTCGCTGATTAACTTAACCAGAATAATTACGTTGTTACGCCGGCGGTCGAAAGAATCTTTCGTAGTAACCAATGTCGGTCTTGAATAAATTGAAAAGTTTCTTTGCAACCGTTTTAAAAGTTTCTTTGCAACCGTTAATAACCTTTGGCAGTGATCATTTCACTAATTCTATGTTATTCTTGGTTGTATCAGTTGGTAACTCACTCCAAATATCCCCATACATCCATATTGATTATTCGAAAGGGGTGCGAAAACATACATTTTGTAACGTTTTGTTAGTTTCACAAGAGTAAGTATATTAGGTTGCGTAATACTGCAGAAGTATTTAAGGCGTGCTTGTAAGGTGTCTCGAGGGGCTAGGACACTATTTAAGGTTTGTTAAGCTATGCAAGAGCCATTCGAGGCAACTCTTTCAACCCTAATTTTGTTGAGTTTGTAAAACTGTAACCCTGTTTTTTGTAACGCTCTACGCTCGCTTCATCAATAAAGGAGATGCCCGCTCCTATTCTTTGTGTTGTGATTATTCAGATTACTTACAAAATATTTTATAATCGTTTCAGTGTGATTAGAATATAAAACCTCATTCCGCTAAACCAGAAAAATCGACAACTTATACGAAGCACATAAAACGTTTTCGTTACACAATAACTGGTGAGATCAAATCCTTTTTAAAAAGAGAAGACAGTAGGACGTGAGACTTTCCGACCTCATCAGTATTGTCAGTTGTAAAAATTACAGAAATTATAGATTGCGTAGAGCATTTGCGAAAGGTGATCTTAAATGAAATATTTGCCTACCTCAGTTACGGACATCATCATTCTCAGTTTCACACCATAACATAGTTCCTTCGAGATCTTCGCAAACAAATAGGGCCCATTATAATGCACGTGACACCTTTTTTTGTCTTAAATTCCTCCTCAGCAGGGTTAAACGCTTCCGCCTGCAAGATTAATGTTTAAAGCTGAGTAATTTATCTAAATGAACATTTACCTTCATCTAAAAATGTGCACTCTTGAAATCTGTTTGCGCTATCGAGCTTGTTCTAGCAAAACTGTTTTTTTAACTTGACATGCGTGGAATACTGCTTTCCTATTGGACACTTGTGCTTGCATGATTTGCGCCTGCAAAATCTACTAAATATGACTGTGCTTGATCAAATAATCATCATGTCTTGAAAAGTCTGGCGCAGACTATCTCATTAACCGCCTTCCTATCTTGAGTACGCAAGCACAGCAATACGCCAGTCAAGTACGAGTTCACTAGCTCTGCTAGACTTCATTTGATTTTTCTATTTTTTTCTGTTTTTGACTTACTTTTTTTAACAAACAACATAAGAACTAAGGACCAAAGATTTTTTAGAAAAATCTCTGACCATTGTGATACAAAAGCAACTGATTGGGACTTCACTGTGATTCTTTTTTATGTTGTACCTCTCTCCTCCGCAGAGGCTCCCGCTGGGTATCCCCATCAAAATATAATAATCGAAAAAATAGAAAGCGCGCATTCCCGCGCGCTCTCTTTTTTTTCTCCCCAGCCTCGCCACAATACAAAGAGGCCTCTGCGGAGGAGAAAGATGTTGTACAGCTAAGGAATCACTTTGAGTCTGTGGATGAAATCCTTTAGAGTTACACGTGAGTTACCGCTCAAACTACTCCGAGCAGTACGTTCCTGTAAGGCTTGGTAATTTGGTCCTAAACTTTGAGTTTTTGGATGAAATACTCGGTGTGACCATTGAAATAAAGCTACTGATCGAGCAATACTTTCCTATGGTACCTGTCTATTATACTGTACAAGGTAGTTCTAACTTTTGAGTCTGTGGGTGAAATCGTAAAGTGTGACCATTCAAATGAAAGCTACTGAACAGTACTTTCCTGTGGTACTGTTTATTATACTGTACAAGGTAGTTCTAACTTTTGTGCCTGTGGATGAAATCCTAAAGTGTGACCATTCAAATGAAAGCTACTGAACAGTACTTTCCTGTGGTACTGTTTATTATACTGTACAAGGTAGTTCTAACTTTTGTGCCTGTGGATGAAATCCTAAAGTGTGACCATTCAAATGAAAGCTACTGAAGAGTACTTTCCTGTGGTACTGTTTATTAAGCTGCACAAGGTGGTTCTAACTTTTGTGCCTGTGGATGAAATCCTAAAGTGTGACCATTCAAATGAAAGCTACTGAACAGTACTTTCCTGTGGTACTGTTTATTATACTGTACAAGGTAGTTCTAACTTTTGTGCCTGTGGATGAAATCCTAAAGTGTGACCATTCAAATGAAAGCTACTGAAGAGTACTTTCCTGTGGTACTGTTTATTAAGCTGCACAAGGTGGTTCTAACTTTTGTGCCTGTGGATGAAATCCTAAAGTGTGACCATTCAAATGAAAGCTACTGAACAGTACTTTCCCGTGGTACTGTTTATTATACTGTACAAGGTAGTTCTAACTTTTGTGCCTGTGGATGAAATCCTAAAGTGTGACCATTCAAATGAAAGCTACTGAAGAGTACTTTCCTGTGGTACTGTTTATTAAGCTGCACAAGGTGGTTCTAACTTTTGTGCCTGTGGATGAAATCCTAAAGTGTGACCATTCAAATGAAAGCTACTGAACAGTACTTTCCCGTGGTACTGTTTATTATGCTGTACAAGGTAGTTCTAACTTTTGTGCCTGTGGATGAAATCCTAAAGTGTGACCATTCAAATGAAAGCTACTGAAGAGTACTTTCCTGTGGTACTGTTTATTAAGCTGCACAAGGTGGTTCTAACTTTTGAGTCTGTGGGTGAAATCGTAAAGTGTGACCATTCAAATGAAAGCTTCTGAGCAGCACTTTCCTGTGGTACTGTTTATTAAGCTGCACAAGGTGGTTCTAACTTTTGAGTCTGTGGATGAAATCGTAAAGTGTGACCATTCAAATGAAAGCTACTGAGCAGCACTTTCCTGTGGTACTGTTTATTATGCTGTACAAGGTAGTTCAAGTTTATATATTTCTAGCTTTAGAGTCTGTCCGTGAAATATTATGACAGTTGATGAAGCGAAAACCTCAAAGCAGTAATAGCTAGATATATTCAATGTGTAAGAAGTAGCAGCAACAGCATCTGTTGTTTCGAATATGAGCAATCATTATTCTGAACATCATTGTTTTACTAAGGGATTTGAAAGTGCAGTCTTTAAGTGGGGCATTTCAACTAGAGGATTCCTAGCGCTACATCTCAGTCGTGTCGTTCAATGTTCCGTACAAGATTTCTCTAACTTATGACCTTGCGGATGAAATCTCATTTTAATCAACGAGCTACTGAGCGGTTTTTGCGGTTAAATAAAAATGTAATTTAAGATATGATTTTGCTTGGAATTTTTCGAGGCCGTTCTAGGGTGTGATCGCGGCGACAAAGATCATGGTTGCATATTTATTGAACTGATTTTTTGCACAGGAATAACTGTCAAAGTAGGCTACTTGATTTAAAACCTTAAACAACAGCACACTAACACTAACAGCAACACTTTTGATATGAAATGCTCCAATTTTGAGACGTAAACGGTGACTCCAAAGAGTCCCTAGCGATTCCTCTTATTCTGTTCTTCAGTATAAATCTCTTGAAGACTGCTAATACCAGCCATTATGAGAACTACAACTGACAAAGGATTACAGTTACTCATTACTGTACTTAAACTATTCAAAAAACAGCGAAAAGTGTTGATATATGGTTCGCCTTTATGAACTTAAGTTTTCAGCTAGCGAGATCACGAACAGTGCTACTACTTCTTTCTCTAATGCCTAATTGAACATCCGCCATTCAACGTCATAACGTCAACTTTGCTTACCTTCTTGAGTACTTCTTGGCAATGGTGTGTCGAGCAAATGGGTTTTGCACCTTTAAACTGTCTATATCCCCTCTAAAAGCCGAAAACCAAGAGAGAGAAATCGACGGTGTCGGCCTGCCGTGAAATGCTTATAATGCGAGAAAGACGTATTCATGCGATAAAGTCCTTCCTCTGACACTAATTAAATTCCGAGACAGTATCACTTAACAAGGGGTTCCGAGAAGTGTCTGAAACCTTGCACTCAAGGGTAAAAAGGGGTCAGATATTGACTGCTCACTGACTAATTTAATTTCCAATCAAAGACACGGAATGAAAAATTGAGCACTTGCTTCAACATTTGTACTGTCTCTCAAGGAATAAAGTATAAAGAGTTGAAGTATTTCCACGTAACCGAAATGGTTCTATATTAGTTAGCGTTAACTATGTGTCAAGGACGTTATCGCATATGTAGCTAAAATAAACATCGAAGATTTCTTTCTGATATGACTAACTAGGACAGAGTTGGACAAAGGACAGTCGTCCTTCTAAGGAACAACGTGTTACACGAAACATCATTCTTTGGTAAACAAACATATTGCATTCAAATCGAAGCCATCTTCAAATTGAAGCATTCAAGATTATCAGTATAGATATCGCGCAACTGGATACGATCAATGAGCTGAGCATGAGAGGAATTCATTGCAAACTGGATTTATAAATTAACCCTGGCTATTTTCTAATATATTTGACCTACAGTACTGATGAAATTTGAATCGCGTTCGTCTGGAATTCTCATTTGTAATATCAACATTGTGGCAGTACAAAGTTGTAAAATCAGTTTGTACCCCCGGCTTGTACCGCTGGATCAATCAAGGACACATGTAATTTTTAGCCCTAAGGTAAAGCCATAATGTGACTAGCCTTTTTTAAATGAAACTTCATTGGCACCTTCTTTCACACGGTACTTTTTATTATCTGACATTTTCCTTTAATTTTGATTTTGGCTGTCTTTGGCGGAGAGAAAATGGACGGAGAAAAAGACTGAATTAACAGGTCTTAATCCGCCCTTTGGAGTGCAACAATCTCTTAAGTGACGACGCTAATTGAAAACCGCAAAAGAAGATTAGAACTAAGGAATGTAACACAACAATGATGCTTGATGACATCTTTATAAAGATGGTCTGCGATTATATTCTATTTCCTGTCATTGTTTGGAAACTTTAAAATGGCAATGTCAGCTATATCTAACAACACTGTAAATGGCGGAGGTATGTTCATTAGCGGAAAAATGTTACTTGAACATTGCCGATCTTTTAAAAAAAGCTTCAGATTTCCCTGGAGAGAAATAGGCTTACTCTCATGGAGATAGGCTAAGTGACTTATCAATGAATTATCAATGCGGTGTGCCAATTCAAATTAATACAGTACCTCTTTTACGTGGTACTACCTTTTTAAAAATATCTTGCAAGAAAAAACGCGTTGTCTAGAACTAAGAATTTGGTGAAATTTAACTGACTGATTTCCAACTTTGAGTTCTGCCGACGAGAAATTGGTTCGTTCTCTAAGGTTCTGAGAATAATCCATGTTGATCTCGACGCTAAGAAGCACTTTCAATTGAAGAAACGAAATTTCGCCGGCGAGAATAGCTAATTTTTGCCACGCATTTTTATGCGTGCCTTCATGCTTTTTTAAATAAAATGAAGCGATTTCGGAAATCAAATTAGTTGTTTAAAAGATCACGAATTGTTCCTCTCTGTTATGAGAGTTAGAGAGCCCTGATAAGACACTTCTCATTGGGCATAAAGAGATTTGCTTATCAATTTAATGAGGGGTATCTTGACCTCAATTAGAAACACATGTGGAAACCTTTCCGTTCTCATCCCAGTAAATTTTCTAAAAATTCCTTTCAGTAAGCATTGCTGTGCTTAGACGCGTTCAGTCATTTCCACTAAGTGTGTCCTACTTACTACACCACGGTTTGACCCGTTAGGTGCTAATGGTGACCAGCATCAATTTTCTCCTAATAATATCCATACCTAGCCCACAGAAAAAGATATGAGAATACCGAAATAAACTGATGATCAAAAAAGAGAAAATGCTCTGCCCGGGTATGAAATTATCATACTAGTTCTAGGAAAAGTGTGAAGGTCAATCTGGAAAATTTGTATATGGATTTGTATGTGGAAAGGGATATTTAATAAAATTTTGATGAAACCAATGATCCGAACTTAAACGTGGCTAGCAATGTACTGGATTTAACAGACAATGGTTTTTGTGTTGTTTAGTATCGAATCTTATCAATTTTCAATTTTTAACATGGGAATACTTCTGTGTTCAACGGCAACATGTTAGCTAATTGAAAAAAAGCGTATTGTAGAAACTTCCTAATTTCTTTCGCGAAAATTTTGAACGTTTTTCCCAAGGCTTATTTCGTGATGACGGTAATTTAATTAAACTCTAATTGAAACTGTGTGTACTGTACTTTGCCATTTTAAAAATATGATGCTCCTTGTTCAAGGGCGATTCTTAAGCATTTTTGTCGTATCAGCGTAGATGTAAGTTGGATGGTACATTTCCTCATATCTTGCGACTGTGCAACTGTAGTAACAAAGGTAATGTTTAACTGGATTATCTCTGTACAGTTTCATCCTCTGTGCTTTCTTGTACTTCCCAAGAGGTATTTTCTTTATTTTATTAAGGGATTAAAGAGATCCGACCACTGGCGTGATGAGGACAATTGTTTGATCCCCCGCCCTGTACCACAAACTATTGAATATTAGGTAACAAACAAATGCTTGGAGCTTTATCGACAAGAGCCCTGCCGCAGAGATAAAGAACATTGTCCGGATATGGTGCCAAAGAGCACACTTTCAAAGTCATCCATTCAAATTGAAGTTAATGAGCAGACTATTTTTATTTTGCTAAAATGAGTTCGACAACTCAAGTGTCAGCTAAGCGTGGCTGTTGCCAAATGATAGATAGTAGGGAACGCACGAATAGGACAAATTTCGCTTACTACCGCCAATCTGAACGCCTGAAGTCCAAGCCAACGACAGCTGCTGCTAAGCAATTTCTTACATTGTTTAACACCTTTTCCAGAAAGATATTTGTCATTTTCTTCCAAAGATATATTGTTACCAACTGAATTAAAGGTACACTCGGCGCTCAGTATTAGATTTTTTCGTAGGCCGTTGACAAACCCGCACAAAGGGTGTTTGTGTCAGTAATTGTTAACGATAAAAGTGGAAAAAAATCACGAGGACAAAGCTACTTAACTTTTGAAAGGGAACGGAAATGCAGGACAAGATAATTAGGTAATTCAAAATGAGGAAATTCGTTTCATTTCTCTGGCATCCCAGTTTACACATGTGTTTAATGATACGAAGGTTATAGGTAAAGATGTATCCAAAATTACCACTAAAACCTAAAATTTCCTCTTGCGTCGTCTCATATTTTATACTTGAAGTTTTAGTATCATTTTCTATTTAAAAAGATTTTAAAAAAAGAGCTATCTTTTTCCGAAATAAAAGTACAATTGTCCAAAGCCATCAAGGCAATCCTTTTTGTTCCGTTTAAGTAATCGGATTATCCGCTAACAGTCGGCAGATAGGTAATAAAACGTCGAAATTCTTTTTTCACGAATTTTGGTTGGCGTTCACTTGTAGCATAAGCGATAAATGGTACTAACAACATTAGCGATCTTCTAAAATATATTTATATTTTTTTTATAATTGACACAAGTGCATATTTCGTTATTGCATGGTAGCAATAAAGGATTGCATGCCCTGTTTACCGATGACAGTTGCAGCTCCTGATACTCGATTGGACCCACACAGAGAGTCGATGATACTAATTAAATAAATAAGTAAAACGGATGAACTGCGGGGCTTGTTTTGAATAACTGTTAAAAACCTGTGAACTGTCAACAGAGATGGGCACCAGGGTGAGGTCTGTTTTGGGGTGAAAACAAGCTGTCAAAGAGGCGTTCCTCAGGATAATTTACACGCAAAAAAATGTGATCAGGAAATCAAGGAAAAACAATGTTTGGGTAAATTTGGAAAAACAGGAAGAGCAGATGTGTGTTGTGCCACCTGGATAGTTCTTGGGTTTTTAGTACACAATTAACATAAGAGTCAGGCCAGTTAAAACTTCTTACTTCGGAAAAATCTCACTCACCTGGCTGAAACAAAATTTACACAGAAAAGGCAAAAGATATGCGTTTCAAGACTGCCAATTACCCCGAAGTTATCTTGACCGAACAAGCTTGTTCACCCGCGCACGGGTAGCCAATCAGAACACAGGATTCGCTTCATCTCCCCCCTCCGTCCCCACCTCCCCCTTCCTCGAAAAGCCAACCTTAACAGCAACCTAGACCCCGGGGGATACTCCCTATGATGGCCTATACGGGGAGGCTCCGCCCGAAAGGGGCCATACCTTTTTCAGGCTTCACGTATATGAAAGGGTAGGGGTTTCACTAGTTCAAGTATATAAAAGGGTAGGGAAATCTGTCGTTTGGGTCTTTGAATAGGTCCACAGGAGTAACAAATAAATTGTATGGCTTTATAAAGGCAAAAAAACGTTCTATTTTTGTGATTGATTCCTATTTAAAAAACAGTGCATTTACAGCCGTTAAAAGGGATGCAAAGTTCTAAGCAGGGCCTAGAGGCCTAACCTCTCATAAGCTCCTATATTTTCTGTTAGGTCTCCTCGCCACTTCTTTTTTTCTTCTTTTCCTATATTTTTTGTAATTATTGTGTGGCCAAAAAAAAAAAGCGAGGTATCTGAAAGGGGTACCATTTTTCAATAGAAGGTATAAGAAAGGGGTACCTTTTTCGTGAAAAATGGTATATTAAAGAGGAAGGGGTTGGACCTTGGGGCAGAGCTTCCCCGTATAAGCATTTGTTAAGTTCCCCCCCCCCCCTCGGGCCTAGACCCCTGGGCTGATCCTTTCCAACCCCTTTTGAAAACGTAACACGAGCGTTAAGCGGTTAGGTGCCTGGTCCCTAGCTATGCTTTAAGATCAGGTTTTTCTGCTTTGTTTTAAGTACTGAATTTCCCCGAAAGAAAGCCGGGAGTTTGAGCCTTGAACCGTGAGGGGCCATGGCTATTTAACTATTTGTGACGTACGTCACACGTATCATGCCACACTTTTGATTGGGGAGAACCTTTTTAAATGCAATTATAATATTTCTAACTACAAATTCGGTCAAAATTCTTGGAGAATCAACTTTGAAAGATACCTACTTTTTTCCTTTTAACCCTTACGAAATAAAACTATGACTAAATAAATGCCGTCCTCCACCGACGTCTCCCCTCTTCCAGCAACATTAAATGGGGGGGGGGGGGGGGGGAGGGAGGCCTTTTTTCTTTTTTTGTTAACTTGGTGGAATTCGCGCGGCGAAATGCGGAATTGTTCTAAAATTTTTTTCTGCGGTTTGAGATATTATTTCCATGCTTAATAATTTTTCTTTTTTTTTTTTATTTACATCATTAGCTTAGAATAGTTAAAAGTTAAAAATTGTACCCTTATGAAGACACAAGTTGCCGTTGTACAATCGATTAACTTTTTTTCGCATAACATCTTTGAAGGATTAAAGAAAGCGCTTTTAAAACTTGCAAAAAGTCAAGGCTTATTTCGTGATGACGGTAATTTAATTAAACTCTAATTGAAACTGTGTGTACTGTACTTTGCCATTTTAAAAATATGATGCTCCTTGTTCAAGGGCGATTCTTCAGCATTTTTGTCGTATCAGCGTCGATGTAAGTTGGATGGTACATTTCGTCATATCTTGCGACTGTACAACTGTTGTAACAAAGGTAGTGTTTAACTGGATTATCTCTGTACAGTTTCATCCTCTTTGCTTTCTTGTACTTCCCAAGAGGTATTTTCTTTATTTTATTAAAGGATTAAAGAGATCCGACCACTGGCGTGATGAGGACAGTTGTTTGATCCCCCGCCCTGTACCACAAGCTATTGAATATTAGGTAACAAACAATGCTTGGGGCTTTATCGACACGAGCCCTGCCGCAGAGATGAAGAACATTGCCCGGATATGGTGCCAAAGAGCCCACTTTCAAAGTCATCCATTCAAATTGAAGTTAATGAGCAGACTATTTTTATTTTGCTAAAATAAGTTCGACAACTCAAGTGTCAACTAAGCGTGGCTGTTGCCAAATGACGCATGAATAGGGCAAATTTCGCTTACTTCCGCCAATCTGAACGCCTGAAGGCCAAGCCAACGACAGCTGCTACTAAGCTATTTCTTACATTGTTTAACATCTTTTCCAGAAAGATATTTGTCATTTTCTTCCAAATATTGTTACCAACTGAATTATAGGTACACTCGGCGCTCAGTATTAGATTTTTTCATAGGCCGTTGACAAACCCGCTCAAGGGGTGTTTATATCAGTAATTGTTAACGATAAAAATGGAAAAAATCACGAGGACAAAGCTACTTAACTTTTGAAAGGGAACGGAAATGCAGCACAAGGTAATTAGGTAATTCAAAATGAGGAAATTCGATCGTCTCATTTCTCTCGATCTGGCATCCCAGTTTACACATGTTTTTACTGATTCGAAGGTTATAGGTAAAGATGTATCAAAAATTAGCACTAAAACCTAAAATTTCATCTTGCGCCCTCTCACATTTTATGCTTGAAATTTTAGTATCATTGTCTATTTAAAAAGATTTTTAAAAAAGAGCTATCTTTTTCCGAAATAAAAGTACAATTGTCCAAAGCCATCAAGTCGATCCTTTTTGTTCCGTTTTTTGTTTAGTAATCGGATTATCCGCTAACAGTCGGCAGATAGGTGATAAAACGTAGAAATTCCTTTTTCACGAATTTTGGTTGGCGTTCATTTGTAGCGCAAGCGATAAATGGTACTAAAAACATTGGCGATCTTCTAAAATATATGTATATTTTTTTATAATTGACACCAGTACACATTTGGTTATTGCATGGTAGCAATAAAGGCTTGCATGTCCTGTTTACCGATGACAATTGCAGCTCCTCATACTCGATTGGACCCACACAGAGAGTCGATGATACTAATTAAATAAATAAGTAAAACGGATGAACTGCGGGGCTTGTTTTGAATAACTGTTAAAAACCTGTGAACTGTCAACAGAGATGGGCACCAGGGCGAGGTCTGTTATGGGGTGAAAACAAGCTGTCAAAGAGGCGTTCCTCAGGATAATTTACACGCAAAAAAATGTGATCAGGAAATCAGGAAAAACAATGTTTGGGTAAATTTGGAAAAACAGGAAAGTCAGATGTGTGTTGTGCCACTTGGATAGTTCTTGGGTTTTTAGTACACAATTAGCATAAGAGTCAGGCCAGTTGAAACTTCTTACTTCGGAAAAATCTCGCTCACCTGGCTGAAACAAAATTTACACAGAAAAGGCAAAAGATATGCGTGTCAAGACTGCCAATTACCCCGAAGTTATCTTGACCGAACAAGCTTGTTCACCCGCGCACGGGTAGCCAATCAGAACACAGGATTCGCTTCATCTCCACCCCTCCGTCCCCACCTCCCCCTTCCTCGAAAAGCCAACCTTAACGGCAACCTAGACCCCGGGGGATACTCCCTATGATGGCCTATACAGGGAGGCTCCACCCGAAAGGGGTATCTTTTTCAGGCTTCAGGTATATGAAAGGGTAGGGGTTTCACTAGTTGAAGTATATAAAAGGGTAGGGAAATCGGTCATTTGGGTCTTTAAATAGGCCCACAGGACTAACAAATAAATTTTATGGCTTTTTAAAGTCGAGAAAACGTTCTATTTTTGTGATTGATTCCTATTTAAAAAACAGTGCATTTACAGCGCGCAGTTAAAAGGGATGCAAAGTTCTAAACAAGGTATGTGAAAGGGGTGCCATTTTTCAATAGAAGGTATACAAAAGAGGTACCTTTTTCGTGAAAATTGGTATATTAAAGAGTAAGGGGTTGGACCTTGGGGCAGAGCTTCCCCGTATAAGCATTTGTTAAGTTTCCCCCCCCCCCTCGGGCCTAGATCCCTGGGCTAATCCTTTCCAACCCCTTTTCAAAACGTAACACGAGCGTTAAGCGGTTAGGTGCCTGGTCCCTAGCTATGCTTTAAGATCAGGTTTTTCTGCTTTGTTTTAAGTACTGAATTTCCCGAAAGAAAGCGGGGAGTTTGAGCTTTGAACCGTGAGGGGCCATGGCTATTTAACTATTTGTGACGTACGTCCCACTTATCATGCCACTCTTTTGATTGGGGAGAACCTTTTTAAATGCAATTATAATATTTCTAACTACAAATTCGGTCGAAATTCTTGGAGAACCAACTTTGAAAGATACCTACTTTTTTCCTTTCACCCTTACGAAATAAAACTATCACAAAATAAATGCCGTCCTCCACCGACGTCTCCCCTCTTCCAACAACATTAAATGGGGGGTGGGGAGGGGGCGACTTTGTTCTAGGTTTGATCACATTGTAGTATATCGCACGACGAAATCGGAACTGTCTCAAGAATTTTTTCCGAGGTTATAGATATTAATTGCAGTGCTTATAAATTGTCTTGTTTTGCTTATAATAGCTCAATGATGTTGGTGAATGTCTCTCGGCTGCAGCTCATTTCGTTGGCAAAATCAAAACAAAGCTACTATCTATACCGCACGGCTGCTATACCGCAGTACATAGTTCTAGAACCACGTCCTGCTCCCGCGCTTTCATAAGTGTTAAATCGTTACAATCAGTAGACCTGACTTAAAGTTGGCTTCCGAGACAATCTAAGAAATAATTTCAAATAGCAGGTAGGATCCAAAAAAGGTCGTAAAAAAAGACCCCTTTTATATGTTTTGTCTCCATAGAGTGTTTTTACTTGACGTCACGGTGGCCATATTGGTGTCGTTCTTAAACCAGTCCTGTGGGAGTTGAACTCTCTTCCTATGTCAACGTTTTCTTTTGTTCCAATAAATTTGCAGAGATGCTGGTTGCGTTAGTAAAAACGCTTTATTTACGCTTTATATGCCTAAGCTTTACTTGTGCCGTATAAATTAAAAAACAGTAAATTGTGTCCTTTATAGATTGTTTCCTTTGGCAGCTTCTGTGGAAATGAGGATGAAATGTAAAATAAAAGAAAAAGAAACAGAAACAGAGCCACTGGTATACGGAAAACTGAGTAACAATAAGAAAATTCTAAGTCAGTCAATTGTCTCCAAACTTTTATAGTTTCAGTTCACTAACATTTAAGTTATATCATCGCAAATAAGAAAAATTTGTAGAGCTGTAATTACAACATAGCCGTTGGAGCATGAGAGACCAGACGTTTATTTTCGGTCAAATCAATCATAGATTATTTGTTAATATATTATTCGCATTTCTTGCAATTATAACCATTTGCCTGCTTTTAAAGTAATTTATTTCTTTTTTCTTTATTACAATTGAAACTTGATTTTTTTCATAAAATTTCCACTTTTCTTTAGTACTAAACCTTAACAAAATTAAAAAGGCAACGAGTATAGTCTATTTTGTCAACAGAAAAGACAAAAATCCAACATTTATGTCGGGTGATTCTAAAGAAAAAGGGTGGTAAAACTAAGACAATTTACCCCCTAAGTTTCCGGATGAAGCAGGCCTGTAATTGTTGTTTTTAAAGATCCTTTAACGATCATATATACCCGGTAATGAGATATTGCAGAGGCGTTTTTCTTTTAGTTAACGACTTTAAGTCGCTCTTTGGACATCATTATCCATTTTTACCTTTATTGCGCATGTGTAATGCGGTGAAATGGAAAAAAAACACCCTTAAAGGTGAGTGATTTAAGGTTAATTATAAAAATTTATTTCGTTTAATTGTCTTTAAGCCGTAGTACTAGAAGGGTGATCTTCCTAATGGATGATAAAACGATGTTCCAAAGATGCCTCTCTTTGATTTAATGAAAATATTAATTTTTATTTTGGCATAGGGATTTTTCTGAAACTTATGAGCTCTTCTCTCGTTAATCAAAAAATTCTCTAAATGCAGGATTCTACAACTTGTGAATAAAGAAGCGACTGTTTCGAGAATAAACTCCAGGAAGAGCCGCTCTGGCGAGCCCAACGTCGCTTAAAGTTTTTTAAACCACAAACCGCCCACAAGGCATGCAGAGACTATGGCTACAGTTGACTGTATTAGTTATTTCGGCTAAATAAAAATTATAAAGAAGATAATAACAATAAATTATCGCGTCAGGAGACACGAAAACTTTGATTCTTAGTAGGTTTAATTTGTCCTACCTGTCAGTTCTTGAAATGAATGTGATCATCTCGGTTATTTAATTTTTACTTCCTTTAAAATTGGTCTGCCCATTCTCGATGGTGCCGTCCTTTGTTTTTTTTTGTGAATCAAAGCCCGTATCCGGCCATACATAGGTGTAAAAATATGAGCAAATATCTGTCTATTTCCCAACTCACCACTAAGTTTGTCGTATCAATTCTTCTCTTCGGTGAAATACGTATAATTTTTTCTGAAATTAAAACTTAAAGTGGAAAAAATGAAGTCAACACCTTGATCCGCCTAATTCTTCCGGGCATTTTTGAGTTATTTATTTAAAGCACTTATTTATTTTTCATTTCAAAAAAAAATTGCTTCGGTTTCTCTGATGCATTTAATTAGAAGATGTAAGGTTTAATTCTTCTTGGTTCGAGTGTTAGTTTTATAAATTTTGCGCTACAAAAGGTTTGGTCACATCAGTCGTTATTACGTTGAACTTTTTCAGCATTTCGTTGTATCTCAAGTTATTTCAGTTGAAGTCTTTTGAGGGAACTTTCTGCTATTTCAAATTATCTCATAATTCATGCAGGCTTTCTAAAAGGTGGAACTATATTTCCCTTACATGACATTAAGGGACAAATGTATATGCGATGGTTGAAAAATCATCTAGGATGCAAACACCAAAACTACTGGCCACGTTGTGAGGGAATAATATATGAAACACTAGCATACAATACAGGACTGAAGGGAATCGAGATTCAATAACCTTTCTTGTTAAAAACTAACATTTGAGTTTTTGTATCCTTACACTCAAATGTTAAAACCACCTCGGCTTGTGGAGCATAATAGACAGTACCACAGGAAAGTACTTCTCAGTAGCTTTTATTTAAATGGTCACACGTAAGGATTTCATTCACAGACTCAAAAGCTAGAACAACCTTGAAGAGCGTCATAAACAGTACCACAGGAAAGGCCCAGTATCTTTCATTTGAATGGTCACAGTTTAGGATTTCATCCACAGACTCAAAAGCTAGAACATTCTTGTAGAGCATAATAAACAGCACCACAGGAAAATACTACTCAGCAGCTTTGTCATTTGAATGGTCACACCCCTTAAAGAACTTTATTCACAGAACCAAAAGTAAGAACCACCTTGTACAGCGTAATAAACAGCACCGCAAGAAAGTATTACTCAGTAGCTTTCATTTGAATTGTAATACTTTACAATTTCATCCACAGACTCAAAAGTAAAAACCACCTTGCACAACATAACCGCATGCCACAGAACGTATTATCAGTACTCTACATTAATATATTCGTATGTTTGTTCTTAAATCCAGTATTCTTATCACAAGACTCAAAGTTAATATTCTAGATACAATGGTGAATTGCTTTTGTAGAACGTTGGTTATCTGGTATACTTATTAATTAAGGGGGTTTATTTCTAAAGAAGCTGTGCCTGTGCGTTGGCGGCGAAATGAAACACAGTTAGAAAATTGGTTTTATCAATGATGCAGTAAAAATAAAAGTGCTCAAATAAAGTGACATAGGTCAGTGCCAGCTTTTTTTCAAGGGTAAAGGGTAGCTTATTCTCTATGGTGGTCAATGTACTTTGTAAACTCAGTCGATGATACTCTTTTAGTGACAGCTACTAAGTATTCGAATGTTATAGAATTGCTCTGTATCTGGCTCTAATGAGGAGGGCTCGAATGGGGTGTGCTCTGCTCCTGTGTTTGAACATCTTTCGTGCCACATACCTTTTCTAAGACTAAAATAGATATCAAGAATTACCATCGTGGCAACTGTCGCAAATCTAACGTTTTCTCAATGTAAGCTTCAAAGAAAACTGGCATGGACAAAAGAATTTAAAACCAGCTACTTATCAGGCTCAGTATATTATATAGGTCCATCATTTGCGATTTTTTATAGCTGTTCTTATACAGATAATATGCATTGCTTAGATGCTTTCAGACGGTGTATAGCTAGAAGAACCTTAATTGTGCCATGATCACAGAAAGATATTTATTTACACTCTGAATTTTCTCTCAATTTAACCGGTATTAATAAAGTGTCTTGCCAGTGGCAAATTTAATTTGCAGCTAACACTGTAACGAACTGAATGTGTTTTCCTAGTTTTTCAGTTTTTCAACTTAAAAACAGTCTATCACTCACTTACTGGATCAATGAGAGCATCACATTTATCTAATTTTCCCATGTGTGTCAGATTTTTTTTTGTTTTCTCGATTGATATAAGTCACCTATCCTGTTCACTGCACTAAATCTATCAGGTCTTGATTCGTGTGATTTTCGGTCCCGTTCTGGTTTAAATAAAGTCAGTTTTGTTTCAAACAAAAAAAAACATGCCGCTTTGAACGCGAGATGATATAGTCATTGTAGAAAAGTGATAAAAACTGTTTATATGTCTTTTATTGTAATCCTTGTAAGTATATTCCGTTCTAGAAGATTTTGGAAGAATACGAAGCCCTTTCCTTTGCAGAGGTCTCTTAAGAGGGTCTCAATGGGGTGGTAGCTTCGACGGTTGACGGTTAAATGTCTCCGATTTTGACGGTTGATGGTTAAATTTTAGAGCTTTTGACGGTTGACGGTTATTACTGTGGAAATTTAGTCTAAGAGTTTTAGCAAATATTAACTTCTGTATAAATTTATTTCAACTGTTGTGTTTTGGAGGCTGTCTTGGCCTTTCACTAATAAGATTTCAAAATAATTTCAGATTTTAGCAAGTTCTAAGGTCTTGTAATGTCTAGAAGGAGTGTTTTTGAGAACATGGGAACTGGTTTTCCAGTCTGGAGCTTCCAGAAGTCCATGACGATAAGATAAGATAAGATACCAGTTTATTTTAAGTTGCGCACGATCAGCTGAAATACTAAAACAAGCACGATTGAAATGCATTGAAACCTTTTGACGGTTAATATCAATCTGCATTTTTGACGGTAAAAAATAACCTTTTTTGACGGTTGACGGTTAAATTTTAGATCGTTTGACGGCTGACGAGACCATTTATTTAGCTGCACTTGGCGTAGCCTGGGAAGAGGAGAAAGAACGCGCGCGCCGAATGATGGAAAGAAGAGAGAGGCTACCTTTTGTTAGCATCATCAAGAAATTAAAAATGAGCGCGTAGGAAACGATACACTATAAGACGCTGTAGACCATAAGAATCTATATCTCGGTACACTGTACGAATCATATATGAAGTACCTACCAAACGATAGAAATATACTGCTGTGTTCAGTCATCGAAGCTTCAGACGAAAAGTAGAAAACGATTTATAAGGTTCAATACTATAAGACACACAACAGGTATATAACTGCAACAATAACTTGTTTCGTTTCTTAAAAGGCTGTATTAGAGTAAATTTCCCGTACTGCATGGTGAGATGAGAGGCCACCTTTCGCTTACGGAAGAGTTAAGAATAACGAAAACTCGTTTGCTTGATTTCTATCAAAGAAGGAATAACTTTTACTTTAAGTTAATTCATTTCAATATGATGCTGTAACATGCATCAGGAAAGTAATGCAACATTATGTTTTCAATTACATAACAAGCTATACATAGTAGATTGTTTTTACATTTAGTATATACTGAAACAGTGGATAGTGTTTTTCGCGCGCTCTGATTGGCTACTCAATCAGTGAATATCCTGCACTATCCACTGATTCTCCTCCAGTTCCTCCGAGCCTCGGTAAATAACCACCACTAGCCTCCTCCACTTCGGTGAATAGTTGTTATTTATTAGCACGATTAATGTAATGTTGATAATGATCAGTAATTGTCATGGGTATATGAAGTTCATTAACGCATTTGTTTTCTCACGTCTGAAGTGTAAAAACAATGTTGCCTTTAAGTAAAAGTAATATGTGTATTAATTTTTTCTTTACTTACAGTTCAGAGAAAATAGGCATAGACCTTGGTAACTCAAAAAGTATATTTGGGTAAATAATATTATCCTGTAGTATTTTCTTTGAAATGGGATCTTTGTGCGTCTCTTTGCAAACAAAGATTGTAAAGAATCCTCTTGTTTCAACATTGGTAGATCCTTTCACAGTTTATTTCGACTTTTGCCTGCGACCAGTTAGCGAAAAATCAGTCAACACCACTGGAAAGAAGGCGTTGTAATCAGTAAAGTTGCCAATTAGGAAAGCGATTTGTTGAAAACTANGGGGGGGGGGGGGGGGGGGGGGGGCAAGTTCGTGCCTCCCACCATACAAATGCCTGTAAAATTTCTCGACTTTGAGTGGAGCAATATCTTCGCTTTCTTTGGTCGTATCACCTTTAACCCTTTAAACCCTAAGATCAAAATTTGAATTCTCATTTGTTGCCCCTATTCATTTTTTATAGAAGTAGTGGGGAGAAGTTGATAAAATATCAAGCAAATACATCTTGTGTGATCATGTCCATAATTCTCATGACCACTCTGTTTTACAAACCATTGATATTACAAGGAGAAATTTGATGCTGATCACTCTTAGGGCTTAAAGGGTTAAACTTGGTAAGTTTCCCTATGTTAAGGTCCTCTTTCCAGAAGTGTCGATGGATAATGGCTTACTGCTCTTTATCAAAAATCGAAAAAAAAAAAGACGGAGAAAGGCCTTATTATTAAACGTTCTGCAAAAGTATTTAGGGCAGCCTAATCACTGCCTTTCCAGCTATGAGAGCAGTTTCCCTGTGTGCTTGGCGTTCTGTAGCTGGACGTCACATTATTCCCGGATGGTGGCACAGAAAAGGGGTGATAATGCGGATCACAGTGCACAAAGTGAACTCCATGAGACCACAAAGGACCACTGACAGGTGAATATGGCGACCAGGGTACATAATGAAGGCCATTATAAAGATGGCCCGAATTGAGGTGCCCTTCAGAAGGCAAATGCCTAGTGGGGCAAAAAGCTTGAACAGGCTTCAGCCCTAGGGCCATACGCCGTCTCTTTGACTTCATACGTCTGTTTTGGAACCATATTTTGATGGTTGTTTCTGACAAGTTCAGGGTTGACGCCAGCTCACTTCTGCGCGTACGTGAGACATAGTTTTCTCTGAGAAATTCTTTCTCTAGTCTGCTCAATTGCTCTCTTGTGAATGCTGTTCTGTAGCGGCGAGTTCTTGTTGAGTCATCATTGCGGTGAGAATCTAAAGAGATACAGAGAAAAAGTAAAGGTTAAATCGATTAAAATAAAGAAGAGAAATGTGAAAATTATGGGATTGGATGGCATATTCAGAAAACAAGATGAAAAACGTCCTTTTGCCATAAATTAGCCTTATGTGCAAATTGGGACAGGTAAGTACCTTTATTTTCTGAGGACTCCATGCAAATCCTAATTCTGAAATTGGCTTGGATCGAAACGTTTACGATCGATCCAGCCGGCCTATTTGGAAGGATTTATATGGAGTCATCCGAGCATAACGTTGCTTATGCTTATATCCAATTTGCACCAACAGGCTGATTTTTGGTTCCCTGTTAGCAGAGGCCTTTTGCTCCTTCTGGATATGCCAACCTATCCCATAGTTTCACAAATTTAGTTTTTGTGACGTCATCACTTGTCTTCTCTTTTGTAGTATATCATCAGATAGAGAAGTCCACTCTACAAATGTTTTAGAAAGCCTCTCTTAAGAATTTCGGTGCTAAAACTTTTGACAAACTACCTTGAATGAAGTTTAATGGACTCTATATGTCATACGTTCCTGACTCTATAACTCAAAAGGATACTGAAGCCTGTTGAAATTGTTAATTTCATCCTTCAACCATGTTAACCTGACATTTATACCAATGTTTATTAAGAAATTTGATCTCTCAAACGTTTACTTTCAACCCAACAGTTGAAAACACTAGAATGAAAGAAAATAAGGAAAATGCCTCAGTGGGAAAACACTGGTTGGTTAGCTTTATACCTAAAGTTTACTTTGTAAAATCAGGACAAATTTGAGCAGTGTACAGTTAAGATAAAGTACAAAATGAGATCATTGTGACTTGATGCTAAGTTTTGCATGCAAGGAGCGCAAAAGTGTACAGACTGCAAACGTCAGCAAAGCTTTTTTGACCTTGAAGTTAGTTATTATTTAATACGAGACATTTTTATTGCAAATTTATATTCATGTGAATTTGTATTCTACTGAAGCACAATGTAAACCGAGTCTTCAGAAAAGATTCGAAACATTACCAAAAAAATTACCTCGATACATGTGTATAATGGGCAAAAAGGCTTAAGTCTAACCTAGAGTAGAATTAAAGTCAAAATGTAGGTTAATTGATTTAGGGTAAACCGAACCGCACCCATAGCTGATTTACACTGTCAAGTTCCTTGTTAATAGATTTACACTTACAATTAACTTCCGCTTTTCGAACCATAGTCTATAAACTCTAATGCAATAAGTTGAGCTTACTTCCCGTATTAGGAGCTCTACTGTGAAATTAGTGAGCAAGACCTCGGTTGGTTATTCGGTGATTTGGTTCAAAGGCAGTTTGGTAGGTGCATACACTCTTTTTTTTTTCCTATAAGAATATATTTTATAGTGTCTTCTAAAAGATGCTTGTGATAGGTAATATATTTTATAAGAATATCGTGGCTGAAATTTGCAAAATCGTAAGAATATGATAAGAATAAACCCAAGGCTGAAAAGGATATAATTTTGTGTGTTGAAAATCTGTTAATACAATACAATTATATGTTTGTAACGTAACCGAGAAATTATTCCTTTCTCTTGACGGCAGAACTAGCCACCAAAAAGAAAAACAACGTGTCAGATTGCCATTAACTGCAATTTGTTATAAATTATAAATTTTCTATAATTTATTATTAAACTTTGTTCATTCTAAAACGGAAGAGTCAGTTAAGAGGCTACAATTTAAGAATAATAAAAGNATTGATTTAGGGTAAACCGAACCGCACCCATAGCTGATTTACACTGTCAAGTTCCTTGTTAATAGATTTACACTTACAATTAACTTCCGCTTTTCGAACCATAGTCTATAAACTCTAATGCAATAAGTTGAGCTTACTTCCCGTATTAGGAGCTCTACTGTGAAATTAGTGAGCAAGACCTCGGTTGGTTATTCGGTGATTTGGTTCAAAGGCAGTTTGGTAGGTGCATACACTCTTTTTTTTTTCCTATAAGAATATATTTTATAGTGTCTTCTAAAAGATGCTTGTGATAGGTAATATATTTTATAAGAATATCGTGGCTGAAATTTGCAAAATCGTAAGAATATGATAAGAATAAACCCAAGGCTGAAAAGGATATAATTTTGTGTGTTGAAAATCTGTTAATACAATACAATTATATGTTTGTAACGTAACCGAGAAATTATTCCTTTCTCTTGACGGCAGAACTAGCCACCAAAAAGAAAAACAACGTGTCAGATTGCCATTAACTGCAATTTGTTATAAATTATAAATTTTCTATAATTTATTATTAAACTTTGTTCATTCTAAAACGGAAGAGTCAGTTAAGAGGCTACAATTTAAGAATAATAAAAGAATATTTTCAGCCTTAAAATCGGCAGAAAAATAAGAATGTTCAGCCTGGGCCGGAAAAACAACATTCTTATAAAAAGAAAAGAGTGTAGTAAAAGCTCTCGACTCGCGGTTTGACCGCCTTTCATCAAGCTGCAAATAATTTCCTCTCAGTTAATACTAATATCTAAAATTCAGTGCTCTTTCATTGCCGAGAAAAATAAGAAATTTAACGCTTTTCCTATTCACTATCTTACATATGAAAACATCGCTTTACTCTTACTAAAGGAAAGTTATAACTGGGGGAGTTTCTAAATGCTTCTCCTTTTTGTTTTATTGTTTCTTTTCCAAAATTAGAAATTTCTATTCTAAATTTTAAAAAGTTGTTACTTAAGGAGGGACAAGATGTAATTTAGTGTTTCGTCTATAAAACCCTGAAGTATTAATGATAATTTATTATCAAAGAAGAACGTAGATCTCAATATTGATTCTGCGTAACTGTAGACTCTTAAACCAAAATCAAAAATAATTGACAACCGCAAAAATGGAACTACTCGATATAGCTGTAGTTCTCATGCATGAATTTTGCTTCCCGCGCTTTATGAGAAACTTACTGAAATACCGACAAGATTTTACATAGATGGCCTTGGTATTCTTTTTAATCACTCAGGGCGAAGTCATTTAATGCGAGCAAGAAAATAGCATAAAAAAGTTGTTACGTTGGATGCAGATTCCTTATCTAATGCTGTCTTATTTAGTTCCTTGTGAAAGAATCACGATTTTTCAAGACGAAATATTTGTACAATATTTCCTAAACACTTCCTTTCCTCTGATATATTTTTCTTTCAATTCAGAAAGCGGTGGGTTACGGCAGGAAGGCTCTTTTACGAGTTCCTGTATGACCTGTGTTTAAAAACATGCGGCTTCCCACATCTGTAGACAAAGATGTCTTTATTTTTCTAGAAGAATATTTAGAGGCCCGCCACATTTAAATTGTTTCGGAATCGAAGTTGTCTTAAGTTCGTTTGGGAGGTTGCGCAAGCAAACAAGAAAATTACGTAGTGTAATCCAGTTAACAACTAATTTTCCGTGGAAAAAATTAAAAAGTTGTTCAAAATTCTGAGAGGAAGACAACAGCAAGGTTCAAAATGTTAAAGGCTGTGATTGAATATTTAGAAAAGTTAGTTTTTTTAGGCTTATTTTTTCGCTCAATCTGTAAAAGACTAGGAATCAATACGAATTTACATATGGCTTGACACTGAAAATTAGTAAAATACCTTGATGATGCTCTGAAGCACGCGGCGGGATTGCAAATGTTCTTCCACTGGAAAGAGGAGATTGAGAAGTTTGTGAAAATGCGCTCGTGTGGCCCGCAGAAACGCCTTCCAGCGCCAGAGGCCGAGGAATGGTTATGGAGTTTGTAAAACTGGGCGAGGTTCGTGTCCTTTCGGGTCCTAGCGAGCATCTCGGCAGCGCTATGCAGCTGTGAGCGTCCACTCTTGGCTCGAAGCTCTCCTTGGATATAAGCGATTCTACTGAGAAGGTTGAAGACTTGGTCGTCTGCATGTCTACTCCGTGTGTGGCTCAACTAACTGAAAGCAAAATCAGAAGGTGGTGCTACTTAAGAAGTGCCCACATCTGATCACGTGATTTTGCCTATTTAACAAAATTACCTCTAATAGTTACTGGCCTAATTTTATTAATTAACTGGCTGACTTATTGGGGATACCTTTCCTTTACTCAGAAAGAAATATAATCTAAAGATGCGGAGAGCAAAGACGCGCGTTAGCTGAAGGAGTTTAAGAATAAACAAAGCCCTAATGCCCTTCACTAGCCAATCTCTAACACGCGGCCCCCTTAAACTGCTCGGAAGTCATTTTACAAACAGTTTTCTCACCGATGGAAAATTAGCATGTTAATGTGGCACTGAAGGGAATAGGTCTTTGTTAACCTATCTTAACTATTCCGACTACTGACGAATTGTTCATGAAAATGAGTTTAATTTTTTATACTCTTGTCTTATGGCAGCCTTACTGTAAACACCGAGTTTTTTTTTTCTTCTTTTAAAAACGGTTCTCTTTAGTTTACTTTTTTTCGTGACGAAAACGAACAAAACCTGAGAACTGTTTTAATTTATTTTTTGCTGTTTTCTTCTATGAGAAGGTTACTTAAGGTTAACAAAAAAATTGTTCTCAGCCTTCTTAAATTGTTTACTGTTAATGACATTTCTTCCAAAAAAAGGTTTTAAACAGACCTTTGTTTGTTTGCTTTTTTTTTTTTTACTGTAATTCGGTTTTCATGGCTTAATTCAATTAGTTAGTTATAACTAAGTTTTTGTCCGCCTAGGATTAATACATACGTTGACCTCGCCTCATAAAAATGGCGACCAAGACCTGTGGTAACCGTTTGAAAGCTGTGGCATCTATGAGGGATTTTTTTTTTCCATCTGAGAGTTACGAAAATCAATTTCAAATAAGTTTTAAAAGTCTGGGAGTTTCACAGATTTAACATGTTTAATTAAATGCTTGACCTACAATATTATTTACTTGCAGATTCAGATTATTTTTGGTAGTTGATGCTGTAACAGAGACTCACCACGCAAATTGAGTTGATAGAGATTTTTTTTTTCACCCTGTGTCAAAAAGGGCGATTTTCGTGCTCTAAGCACCTGTACACCCCAATGGCTGCAGGTAAACATTGCGTTATTATTAATCTCTTTTTGCAAACAATACACTGTGTTTAAATCCACTGAGGCGTTTAAATTGTCGTTTTGCGGCAGTTTTCCAGACTAAATTGCATATTATTAAGTGTTCTAAATGTTTCTTGAGATGACGCATTCTAATACATTTAACCTATAACACGTTTGCAATACACTGATAAATTCAATTCTCAATTTTTTAACAAATGGTTTTGTTATTATTTTGTTTTGGGAATAATAAAATAAAGTGTTAAAAAATCAACCCCTTTGAATAGAGTTGCTTTTCACCTGTAGATGATGTGATGAGTCCTTCTAGAGTGTCAAGCAAAGAGACACCTTTAAAGCCTTAATTAATAGCCTTCACTTCCGGGGGAAAAGTACGAACCGGCCATCTTCAATAAAAACCTTTGACAGTAGGAAAAACGTAATTAACAATCTTTTTTTAAAGATGCTGTTTTGTCATGTTGCCGTTGTTGTCTTTATGGAGAATAAAGAGTTAAGCTTTATTATTATGATTATAAAGTGAACAAGAATGCGGCCAATTTTGCGTGTGTGTAAATACGCCTGCATGAGGTTGAAAATATTATTTCAAGGATTCAACATTTTTGCGTCAAATATATGTCGCGTTATAGGTCAATTTTTCTCGCTGCATGAATGATTTTTATTTCAGTGAAATTAGGTGAACTGTAGACATGCCGATGATTAGAAATGAGATTTAATTCGCATCGGGGAGCTATAATATAAAAGCAAAAAAGTCTTGATCAAATACTATACAAGTAGAATTAATCAATTTAATCAACTTCGTTGGTTTGATTTCCAAAAGGGCCCAAGATTTAATTAAACTATATTTAAAATTCTTTCGAACTTCGAGTGGCAATATGTTTTCTTCCAAATAATTCGTAGGTTTAAATCATCAGTTACACAAATCTTTACCAACAACTTTATCTCAGTCTGCGTTCTAAACGGAACGCTGTGAAGATCTGTCATAACGGACCCTTATTATAGTAAATAAGTTTGTAATGATAAATTTTTCCCTTTTCAAATCAGTGGAGGCGGTATATTAAAAACTTCCAGTAGAAAAATATCGCAAATTATCACCTAAGTAGTTTTTAGCAGTTTTCTGCAAACTAAGCTTTATTTTGATCCCAAAATGTTGCTTATAAACAGTACAAAACTTGGATTGGATTCGCATCAGTGGGAAAACAGGTTTAAAAATCTTCAAGTAGAGGACACGACTTCAGAATTGAAAGTTTCAAATCTCAACAAATTTCGCCGTCTCCTGGTCTTATTTCGTGCCAAAAAGACGAAGACAGGATAGGAACTTGACGAGAAACTCATAAAGTTTAAACAATGCTCTCTACAGCAAATCTTAGTGTGGTTTTATCCCCTGGGAAAATGAACATCTGGATCAAACAAAGCCAACGTAGCAATGGGTCTGTAAAGACGCCATAAAGGGGCCGTCATCGTTTGCTTTCTGGCAAAAAAACTACCAACTTCAGGTGCCCCTAATGTTCAACAGTGAAAATAAAACGGATATTCACATCTATCTTGTGTGTGAACGACAAAGTACGATCATAACACAAGAATGTTCAAACATGTATTTGCTCAATTCTTATTTTTTTTACACCTAGCTGCTAACCCTGTGTTGTTGGTGGAGGTGTGAAATTAAGTATCTTTCCGATTCAATTTGGAACTGTGGGAAGAGCTGTTCCACTTTCATCGACATTGTTGAACAGAAACTAGTCAAAGACCATGAAAATGGACCCTCCTGGGCTATTTTATAAAACAAAAACACAAACTATTGTGTTGTTCTTATTCTAAGCAATCCTCGCTTGGTTTCATGAAGTCGTCCGAGTATTTTACCTTCTTTTTTTCAAAACGGACATTTTACATATTATCTGATGAAACCTGAGCTTATTCACCACTAAAATGCATTCAGTGGATTCAGCCTATTGATCTTGTTTTAGTTACTGAAGCCATCAAGTACGGCGTATATCTGTCGTATTCGGATTACCAAAGCCATTCTAAAAGGTACCACTTGTGCACGAAACATATAATCGATTATACCGCGTATTTTTGTTCAATCCAAACCCGGTGCTCCCCGACCTCTTCCAACAAATTACACTTGAATCTCTTGGGGAAAAAAAAAACAGTTTAACGTGTGGGTTAACATTTAGTCAAATTGACTAACAAAATAAGTAAGGCGTCCGCTTTCAGAAAGACAGAGGAGATTTATAATCGTCGATATAAGACCTATAAACAAACATAAGGAGACATTTTCTGTTATCTGCACACTCCTTGAGTAAATAAAGTCTGCACCTTTTTGTTTTAATTTTTTAGCGTGTCCATCCCGATTATGCTACCGCGAAAAGTATTTGTTAAAAGCCTTTTATTTTTCAGGGTTTTTTTGTCACTTTAGTACTAAATTCGGGAAGCTTATCCCAGTAAAAATCGTCCGTAAGTAGCTAATGTACATTTAGATTATAACCAACAAATGTACCGCTCTTTGTTGCTCTGAGCAAAATTTATAGTCGAATGCCATGTTCCGAAAAATATCGTATCGAGTTCTAATAAATTGATCGTAGAAGTTAAACAGTCTTGTTTTATTTTAAATGCTGTGTTTTATCGCTGTGAGAACTGCATTAGCATCTTGGTCCCATGGGGTCAAGTTTCGTCATTTTACAGTACGTAGCTACCCTCCGACATAACACAACTGTTTCTTTCTTAGCTATTCCCTCGCTCGCTATCTATAGGAGTCATCTTTCACTGTATTGTCGCGTTTTTGAAATCTTCGAGAACATTTTCCTTTTACTGAAATCCATTAGGAACAATAAGATGTCATCATTCTGCCAGACGCGCGGGAGTCGGTTTAGGGGAAGACTTATCCCTTTCGTCACTGAATAATAAAACCAATACCAAAGCTTCATCTTAACCAAATAAATAATATTTTCAAAGAAAAATAAAAGATTTATTTATACTGAATCTTTAAGCAACGCAGAATTGCATTTTGATATTTTAAAATGGTACACAAAAAAACGCAGAGAATAGCAAGCTGAAAGCAAGTCTCGACCGTGACAACAGAGAAAAAGCCATGGTGAATTTAAAATTTTAGTGTTCCTAAGTACAACATCCTGTCACAACACTACGCTCTTACTTCTAAATTATGGGGTTCATGTCAATTTGATGCATATATCCAAAGGAAAATAAATATAACTTCTTTATGCGGAGGAGTTAACTGCCTCGCCGAGAAAAACCTGTCGCCATGAAAAAGTAATCATTTGATAAACCTAACATGTTTCTGGTAGCCTATGGTGCAATTATTTAAATAAAATTTCATTAAATGGGGTAAATTTACTTTATAAATCGGATATAATACTAAATTTTTTAATGGAATCAAATAAGGCTAAGGACGAGGAATTGCCTTGGCAGAAAAGCTCAAGACATTGAATAGCACAACGAGAAAATTTTTCCTCTTGAAAATCCACGTCTGTTACAAGAGTCGGCAATACCCCGTGCTGGTTTGAAACACTACAAGCTATGAACTACCTAAAGAGCTTTCCATGAAGTACAAGAAACAGTTTTCTTTGTGTAGTAAATAGCTACAACATGTCCTTTACTAACTTAACAAGGCCATCAATCGGCGACAGGTCACATTTTGATGATATTATCCTAAGTTTGAATCTCTCATAAAGAATGGAACTAGAATACTAAATATTCCTTTATAAAAGGTTCGTCAGATAGAATAGGCGTCCTTAGAGCTGCTAGTGCTTATAGCTTTCATGATATTGCGATTATATGATCTGCTGCCATCGGTATCGTTCGTGGAATGACTGTCAGTTGCACACACAGACCCCTTGTCTTGATCATG